ACGGATCCGCGTGGAAAACATGGCGAGGGAGCCGCAGCTCCTGCTGGAGCAGGTTCACAAATATATATATTGTTATTTTTTTCTTTTTTTTTTTTCTTTAACAGTGTCCTGTCTGGCAATGTGGCAATAAGAATAATTGTCTTGATGCCAAAAAGAGCCCAACAGATTTTACTTTCACAAGTGGAGCAGTATGGCAATTGCCATATTGCTCCACTTGTTTCATGCATATAAATTGCCTTATTATAATTATGCAGGGAGTTTTACAGTTTATATGGACACTGCAATGGAAATAGTAAATAATAAAGGTTCGCAAATATAAACATCTAGACATAGACAGCTTTTATTGTCATTTTGTATGCACAGTGTTTTTGTTTTTACATATTTCATGACAATTCCATTTATAATTCCACATGTATATGTATATATATATATACATATACATATATATATATATATATATATACATATACATGTGTATATATATATATATATATATATATATATATATATATATATATATATATATATATATATATATATATATATATATATATATATATATATATATATATATATATATATATATATATATATATATATACACATGTATATGTATATATATATATATATATATATGTATATGTATATATATATATATACATATACATGTATATATATATATATATATATATATATATATATATATATATATATATATATATATATATATATATATATATATATATATATATATATATGTATATGTATATATATATATACATATACATATATATATATATATATATATACATATACATGTGTATATATATATATATATATATATATATATATATATATATATATATATATATATATATATATATATATATATATATATATCAACACATTGTGGAAAAACTCCAGGAAAGAAACTACCTTTGCTCTCGGATGGCATGAAGAGGCTTTGATAAAGTTATAAACAGATGGGAAGAACGACACCTAAAAAAAAATAGGTCAATGGTGACAAAAACCCTGCAAAAGTCTTAACATCAAGACAGAAGAGATCAACACCAGACCCTCATTCATTAAAGGAGTTATTTCCAGCCAGATGGGGACAACTGACGCAATTATTTCCATAATTCCCGGGAGGTGCTAACCGCTTTAGCTGCAGTAAGCTACTTCCTTGTTTACCCCTCTGGTCACATGTGGATTATCTTGAGCTTGGCTAGCAGCCAGCCATAGTGGTTTAGGGCATTATGCTTGGAAACCGGAGGTTCTGAGTTCAAGCCCCATTCCTACAGACTGCCTTGTGCTCCCCGAAGGAAGACCCTTAACCCCACACTGCTCCCCGGGCCCGGCACAATGGCAGCCCTCTGCTCCCCAAGGGGATGGGTTAAGTGCAGAGAGTGAATATCATTGCTCTGTACTTGTGACAGTCGAATGACAATAAAAAAAAGTTGAAAAAGAAATACAGAAAGACCTTTATTTAGTAACAAACTAAGCAAAGACAAAAAAAACTATAACAAATAGAAGCATTGTAATGAACCAGAGTGCATATATATTTAAAATAAATTCAAATAACGTGAGCATGCACCTTTAAAGAATTTATGGGAAGCTTTAAAAATCCCTTATTATCCGTCCGCTTTGACTGAACTACAGATGTTCTACAAAATAAAATGATAAAAAAAAAAAAGAGTCTGCTTCTACTCATTTCAGATTTGTGTTTGTAAAAATAAAAAAATGCTGATGCATCAATATATCAAAAAGTATAAGGGGGGGTGTTTACATACAGACAAACAGACGTTAAAAGAAAGGCCAAACTGTCAGAAACATAGAAAACAAACATAGATCCGCAGCGCTACCGAGACACAGAGAGATCTGAGTTATTTTTTTATTCCTGTGACCTTCTTTATTGGTCTACGAGTAAATATAACCTTTAAAAGAGAACGTATTTCTCTGCTGAGGTAAACAGAGCTGCAGGGCTTCGGTTGTTCCAGCGAACGGAGAGAGAGAGACAGAGATCGTCATTAAATGTGGGGAAACGATAAAGGGGACATGCAGCTGTAATGGAAGCATTAGAACAGCCCAGGGAGAGATAAGAGTCTGCCCATAGAGGAGGAAACAAAGGCATGGATGCACCGGGGGCCGGCCCTTCATCCAGCGAGACAAAATAAAATTAGAGCAAATTTAACGAAGCACAGTTTGCAGTTTGACCGACTATCCTTTTAAATCTCATGTCAACACGCGGCGCACAGGGCCGTGGTGAGTCGCATGGAGCAGTGTGTCACAGGTACGCCGCTCCGAGTGGCCTAGTTTCTGGTCAAACAAAAGCTCTGGGGGGAAACAGAGTGAGGGGCAAACGGGCGCACGAACAGGGGATGAGCCCAGATAGGGTCAAAGGTCAAAGAAAAAACTGAGATAGAAGCTCAGCCTCAAGGACGACATGTTTTAATCAGTGGATGCAGAAAAAACAACAAGTTTTATGGTATTTATTCACACATTTTAACTAAGAGTTAAAATGTGTGAATAAATACCATAAGTGGCGTTGGATGTAGGAGTTTGCCCTGAACTCGAAGAATTGACGGTTCAAGCCCCGACTCCGACTTTCAGTGTCGTTGTGTCCTTGGGCAAGACACTTCACCTGCATTGTCTACTGATGGTGGTCAGAGGGCCCGGTGGCGCCAGTGTATGGCAGCCCCGCTTCTGTCAGTGAGCCCCAGGGCAGCTGTGGCTACAATGTAGCTTGCCACCATCAGTGTGTGCGTGAATGGGTGAATGAATGTACTGTAAAACGCTTTGGTCAAGTCTCCTGACTTGAATAAAGGCGCTATATAAGTACATGCCATTTACCATTTAAGAGGTTTGGCATGGGGGAGTGTTGGCCTAGTGGGTTAGAGATTGTGCTCCGAGTTCCTGAGCAAGACCGTTAACCCCACACTGCTCCCCGAGCGCCGCACAATGGCAGCCCTCTGCTCCCCAAGGGGATGGGTTAAATGCAGTTAATTTCTCCAATGTGGGATCAATAAAGCTAAAGGTCAAAAAACAAAAATACGTAATTTATCAATGCAGATCATGACATGGGAGCTGGCTCGGAGCTCGTCTGCCTGGTTATGTGTTTCCTGGACGGGGTCGCCTTTTACAGCTGCCTTTTGTATCTCTGCTTCTGTCTCCTTGAACTCCAGTCAGCCTCAGCAGATGGCCGCTCACACTGAGCCTGGTTCTGCTGGAGGTTTCTTCCTGTTAAAAAGGAGTTTTTCTCTCCACTGTCGCTACAAGCATGCTTAGTGTGAAGGATTGCCTTTGAATCAATGAGTCGATGCATTCAACTTAGATAGAAAACTTTGAATAAATCTGACTGAATGATCTGGTGAACTGGAAAGTTCTTTGAGATGACATGTGTTGTGCATTGGCACTATAGAAATAAACTGAATTAAATTGAATGACACTATCAATGTTTGTGTTCATGAAAAGGTTTCTCAGCCAACTGAAAAACAGAGGAGGTACTCTGCAAAAAATATACAAATTTTAAGAGAAACGGGCATACTTATATTCTCTTTTTGGGGATGTAGCTGTGGTGCAGTGGGTAGCACTGCTGCCTTGCAGCAAGAAGGTTCTTGGTTTGATTCTCGGCCCGGGCTCTTTCTACATGGAGTTTGCATGTTCTCCCTGTGAATGTGTGGGTTCTCTCCGGGTACTCCGGTGTTCTATCAGATGATCATAGCCAATACGTATGCGCAGGATTTGTGTTTATCCCTTTAGTTTTGTATGAAAAATAGTAAACTGCAAAAAACGATAAGAAAAATAAGTCAAAATTAAGGGTAATTACACTTAATTTTAGTAGGTGCCAATGGAATGATAATTTTTACTCTTAAAGTAAGATAATTAGATAATATGCACATGAAATAAGACAATTTAATTGTTTAATCTTATTTTAAATGTAAATTGGCTTCTTCAAATGGTGTCTAACCTCCTCAATTCAAGAACAGATGCACTTACTTTAAGAAATAATGACTCATTTAGATTAAAATTTTTCACAGTGTAAATAAATAGTTTGTTTGTACATGGCTAAAGGGATACACGCTGGATGAGGCAGTTTAAAGTGTATTTTCTGTACAAAAATAAAGGGATAATTTAAAGGGGTATTGACTATAGATATGCTCATCTGACAGAACACCAGCTTCCTCCCACAGTCCAGAAACATGACTGTTAGGTTAATTGGCTTCTCTAAATTCTTGTGAGAGTGTGTAAATGATTGTTTGTCCTGTTTGTCTCCGTGTTATCCTGCAATGGACTGGCGACCTGTCCACGATGGACCCCGCCTCTTACCCATTGACAGCTGGATATAGGCACCAGCAGCCCTCATGACCCCGATTGGGATAAAGCGTAATGGAAAATGGATGGATGGAATGTTTGCACCATTCAGACATGTCTGCACACTCATTTTTTGCATTTCTGCACACATGCATTGCTCTGCTGTCTCTAATAAGTGGTTTTAGACCATAAGAACGGCACAAAGGAACATGACCATTGTATTGTAACTTTTTAAGGTGACATTGATTGTTGTTATGATTGTTTAGGAAAGAAGAGAACAATATCTGCTGAGTCAATGAGATTATAATGAACTAATTAATGCATCTGTATTTCAAGATATATTAAAATTTATTTTCCATCATGAAAACCTGCTACTCCAGATCATACACTGCAAAAAAATGAAATATGTCTTTATTTTTTTAAAATAAGTGCATATATTCCTGTTTCAAGCTGGCGGGTAACACTATTTGCCAATGAGATGAGAAGATTTAAGTTGGAATTAATAAAAAACAACAACAAATGGGTGATTTTATCTGAAGTTGTAATTAGATCTAATTATGTTAATTTATTGGCACAAAAAAAGAGATAAAATTAAGGGCAAATACACTTATTCCACTAATTTGTGCAGCGTAATCATCCATGTGTTTAATCCTGATGGTGCATCATTTGTTGCCCCCCCCCCTCCTCACCTTCCTCAGTAATCTCAGCACGTCGGTCGCCTGCTCGATCCTGCGCTCCCGGAGCAGTTTCTGGATCTCCTTGATCCAGGCCACCCTCCTCATGTAGGGGCTGTGGTTGGCCCTCCGCAGCATCCCGGGCAGCTTGTCTGATTTCAGCATCAGAGCAAACAGAAAGTCCCCCCCGGACCGGCCGCCCTCCCCGGCGCCGTCCTGCAGCCTGCGCCGCTTTTTGGAGAAATTCTCCTGATCCAAGCTGCTCTGTCTGCTCAGCCTGGAGCCCATGGCGCGTCTGGCGGTGCTACCAGGAGGACGAATCGAACCCGTTTATCCGGAAAAAGCAAACAGTTGCTGGTGCATCCGGTCCCGGTTTAGATGTCTTGGCTACGTGCGGCGCGTGCGGTGCCTGTGATGATGAGGAGCTCCGTCTGCTTCATCCTCCGCTGCTGTTTGGGTTTGTGTAACGAGGAGCTGCTGACCAATCAGAGGCGTCTGTCTGCTCAGCATCTCTGCTCCCAGCAGAGCATCCTCTCCATGCTGCGCAGCATGCTGCGCTCATTTAACCAGGCAGGAAGATCAGCTCCACTTTCTGCAAACAAAGGTCCTGAAGGGCCTCTAAAAAGTTTTTAAAGGGTTGGGGCCCCACTGATCATATCTACGGGGATGGTTAGGGCCACTGCAAAAAAAAAGTTCACTGATTTTTAAATATTATTTCAGTTTAACATGGGAAAAAAAGTCCGAATCCTGACTGAATTCTGACAGATAACAAACATGTTAGCATCAAGCCGTAGCCTTGTCTAGAGCAGGGGTCACCAACCATGTCAAGGCTGAGGGCTACTTCATGGCTATCGAATCATAGGAAGGGCTACCAATACTGACCTATGAACAAGAGGGGTCAGCGTTCACCTAAACTTCATCCAAATTAAACACATTTTTATTGTTAACTTTTAATTACTAATTTTCCTTTCAACATTATAATTTTAAAATCTCTATAAATGCTAAAATGCCCTATATGATTACTATGATGAAATGCTCTATAAATGATTAAAAAGAAGAGTCACAGAATAAAATAAAATGTCAAAGTTAGTCCACTGCTGAGTTGCTGTTATCAGAAGGCGTTGAGGGCACCCCATGTGGTCCTTGAGGGCCCCTTGGTGCCCGCAGGCACCACGTTGGCGAACCCTGGTCTAGAGATTAAACTAGGGCCGTTTCTCAATTCACTAGAACGCTAGTACGGACTCGTATTCTCAACGCGAGTACGGACTCGTATTCTCGCCAAGTATGTTCTTGAGAAGAACACAGGAAAGTGCGGACTCAGGGAGAACGGGAGCATGCAGAATAAATATGGGTCAATTGGAACAGAAGCGATGACATCACCACACGCTCGGCTCTTCTGGAGCTGCATTTCACCTCCTGTTAATAATAGTCTCTAGATAATAATACATTCTTACTTTTTTCATTTAATGGGGGAATAACGATGAACACAGTCAGATGAACATTTTGCCAAATAAAACACAAAAATCGGCATCAGAGCCAGCGGTCTTCACACACCGCAGAGAGAGAGGGCTGCTGCAGACGGGTTGCCGTTAGCCTCAGAGGTCCGCTGGTTGCCGCGGTCCTCTCAACTTCGGAACATTTTTTTTTTTTTATTTGCAATAAATCGGTAAATGGACCATATAGTGACGCTTTAAAGTATAATATTCTCAAATGATCTTAAAACGTACTTTTACCGAACAACAGCAACAGAAAAGAGAACTTTTAACAGAACATGACGCATGGTTACAAACAGAGTATTGTTCTGACAGAACAATTGATCAGTTCATGAAGACAGAATGCTCCATAATATGACAAGGAAGGATGATCTCCTGACTGGATCATGACACAGGAGTGGAGCATCCCCTTGCAAAAATGTTTCATAAGCACACATTAATTTTATAATCATCACTGAATAAACAGCTGTCAATCTCAAGAACGGACGAATCTGCTCTGATGCATGCTGAGTAAAGAGGGAGGGGCGAGAACAACATCGGGGGACTTTATCTGTTCTTTAGGGGACTTTATCCTGCTGTTCTTGTGAATTGGAACATTACTTGGGCTGACGCTGATGGCGTTTCATGAGGACATGAGAACGCACAAGTTCACAGATTGAGAAATGGCCCTATTCTCTTCTGCTCTTCCATTAATGAACTAGCGTCACTGTGGACCCCTCAAGCATGTAAAAAGTCGCCTAATTCCATCATTTTCCACCAATGTGTTATTTAACCTCCCAAACAAACCACATCTCTGTCAGTGAAGCTGAGTGCTCCCACATCTCTTCCTTCATGGTGCCCTTCTACATTAAAATCCAAAATTCTGAGATTAAAGTCAGAATTTTGACTTTTTTTTCCAATATTGAACTGAAAAAATATTTAAAAATCACTTAAGTTTTTATTTTTTCAGTGGCCCTAATCCATACATATCAGAACCAGAAGTCTGAGTTTTAGGATGTTCTCTAGGTAGCAGACGAGTTGCGGATCAGAGGCGATGAACGATGATCTTTGGATACTGATTGGCTTTCGTGGAGGCGTGGTTGAAAGCTGATTGGCTGTGTCGTAGGAGGATGAAGGCGAGTAATCAGTTTATTCAGTTGAACTTCAGCCTAGGCTCAATTTAATTAGATGTTATGCCGTAAAAATAAGATATTAGAGATGTTTTTTTCTTATTCTAAACCTAAATCATTACTGTCCATTGGTAAATTGTGCCATAAACACGCTTATATCAAGAAAAAAAATAATGTTATTATTAACAATAGTCATTTTTTTGCAGGCTGCCCTTTTTATTGCTGGTGTATCAAAGATAATTCTGTTTAAAATGTGAGTTTATTTTACATTTTTAAATGATCCTTTTCCATGATTTCAAGTTGCATTGTTATAAGGAACCAAGTTTCGGTAATTGTTGCTTGTGTTGTAAAAAAGTAAATTTTTAAAACTTTATTTGAAAGCACAGATAATATTTTATTTACAATTCAGCTGCTATTTCTGTCAGGATTTTTATTGTAATGGCACGTCTGAAACAAGAGGACTTTTATTTTGAAGAAAGTCTGTGAGCTTCATAGTGAAGGTCCCACTCTGACCTTCTACTGGGAGACAAACAGAAGGTTATCGCTGTGCTTCCTGCTTTTTTTCTGGAAGCAATTTGGAGGAGGATAAATCAGTTACTGACTACATCTCAAAGAAACAGTTTTAAAGCTCTACTTTGCTCTTTAAAGGATATATGCAATAAAAATACACTTATAAATTGGATGTCATGTAAAATTTCTCTTTCTAAATGAATTAGGCATCTTTGGATGAAATTCTTTCTTCGCTGGTCTCTGTAGGTGTTTGATATAAAACTGTAAGCCCTATTAGTAACTACGAAATTGGCACACACAATATCTGGAAAAATAAAGATGTGTTTCTGTGAAAATCCTGAAAATAGTGTGTGCATTATAACCTCTAGATTAGAGGTCACGGATTAGCAGACCGGGGTCTGGATCCGGACCCACCTGCTGGCTAATCTGGACCCAACCTGATTTAAAACATTAATAAATGACTGCATGTTGTCTGATGACAGTGTCTAACTTCACTTGCGCCGCTTCTCCTGTTAATACGGTAAAGCCCTCAGGAGCGTCAGGAGCTCCAGGCTGCACGTGATCCAAATTAGCCAATGAGCTGCTGTCAGTCTGGGTTGCTGCTGCTGCTACTTTTAGACACAGCAGGCAAACCTGTGGCAAGCCGGGCGATGGGAAAGAAGGAGAAGACGATGAGAAAAAGAGAGCAGAGAAAGTGTGGACTGCTGGAAGAACTGCGGTGAACTGGTGAAAGAAAAGCGAAATGGCGTGCTCAAAGATGACCCTGCACATTTAGAGGATGTTTGGCTCAACCTGCTGCTGTGAAGCAGGATTCTCCACCATGAACAGAAGCAAAAATAAATCTGGATCCAGGCTCAAAATGAGCACCTTGATATGTGCTTGAGAATGGCTTAGTCTCCATTCAAACCCAGGTTTAAAGCCTTGCAGGGCAGCATAAAGCCCACTGCCAACATTAAGACAGAAAAAAAGGTCAGTTCTGGTGTTTTATAAAAAAAAAAGTGAGTCAGGAAATTGGATGCATAAACACTTTTATTTCAGTGTTACATTCTGTTTAAAGTAACGGATTATTATTAAAAATGTCTCCTGACTTCAGTCCATCGCAGCGCAACACCGAGACAACCATTCACACCTAAGGACAATTTAGAGAATCCACTTAACCTAACAGTCATGTTTTTGGACTGTGGGAGGAAGCCGGAGTACCTGGAGAGAACCCATGCATGCACAGGGAGAACATGCAAACTCCATGCAGAAAGACCCCGGGCTGAGAATCAAACCCAGAACCTTTTTGCTGCAAGGCAGCATTGCTGCCAACTGTGCCACTGTGCAGCCACTATCTGACTGTTTGTGCCACATTTCATTCCCAATTCTCTGATGTGTACATAATGAAGACGATAGCTGTATATCCTGTATGTACTACTGGGGAAAACATCAGTTCTGGCACGCAGAAGGCAGGTGTTATGAGGGATTAACATCAATCATCAATTCAAATAATCCTAACAATCTGAACAAGAACACTTTGGGTGGAATGAGAGCTTCTCATTCAATGTGATTTTAACTACTGCTTTTTTCCCTTTAATTATATATATATAGAATAGGTTGTTTTCTTAAATCAAACTTTTCAGTCCGCAGTTAAATATCTTTTGAGATTATGGGTGGAGGTCTCTGATTGAAAGTATGTCTAATTTGCAGCTTAAACGAGCTACATGCTTCCCACCAGCTGTTAGGCAGACATGCTTTTCTCTTCAGGGCGATTTGCTTTTACTCAAGCTGTCAAACCCTGTTTGCTTCCTTCTTTCAGGAAAACTCATGGCCCACTTTTTCACAGTCAGTCTCTGTCACTCTCTGTCACTTGGATCGGTATCTGTTTCCAGGGAGCCACAGAGGGCAAATACGAGGGGCCCAAGGGTAGATGGGGGGGGGTTTAGACTACAAAGTGGACAGCTATCAGTAATTTCCCCCCCGCCTCTGCAGACTGCCTCTATTTGTAGCTTCAATCCTTGTAGCTTAAAGGACTTTGATCCTGATTTGACCTTATTCTCTTCCATGATTCAGGCTGCATAGCTTAATGCAGGATATGGGGGGAAATTTGTTCCATTACCGTGGCAAAGAAAATGTTCTGTAAAATGAAATCTTAAAAAAAATAAATAAATAAATAATGCAGAAATTAAACTGAAATGAAAAAGTAAATCAAAAAAGATTTTTGAACCGTTTTATTTTTTTAAATTATAAAAAAAAATAGACAAGCAGTGTGCAGCAGCTGGTAGAGAAGGAAAAGCATGTCTAACGTAACAAGAAAATATGTGTGGAAAATAGTTCAGTTTTCAAGCATAACTTTAGATTTTCTTCCTCTCCAGTTTCAGCAT